AGCTCTTTCTCGTGTGTTACTTTATTGGATCATCCTGGCAATCACGGGAGGGTCAAATTCCCATTACACAGATGAGGAAAGTGAGGTTCAGTTGAGGAAGGTTAAATGACTTGGCCTGTCATTTGCACAGCTGCTAAGTGGAGGAGTTGAATGCTGCCTTTCCAACAGCACTCACTCAATCAGTTGTCCATGTAGCTTCAGTGATGGAGGTTTGAGGCTTCTCAGAGAGGAAGGGAAAGTGTATACAGTGTATACACTTGGCCATCTGGACCCATGGGTTCCACATCTGAGGAGCCAATCGACCAAGGATCAAAAATATCTAGAAAAAACCTGTATCTATACTAAATATGTAGAGTTTTTTTCTTGACATTCCCTAAATAATACTTTCCAACAACTAACATTTGCATTGTTTTTGGTATTATAAGTCCTCTAGAGATGATTTAAAGCATATGGGAGGATGTGCATAGATTATTCATTAAAAAACTACACTATCTTATATAAGGGACTTGAGCTTCTGTGATCTGGGCATGTGCAAGAGTTCTAGAACCAATCTCCTGTGGATACCGTACTTAGGAACAACGATATTAGGTACAATGTCATGTATTTACAAGGAATGCGAATCCTCAAAGTGCCCCCACATGATCACCACTGTTCTCTTCACTTCTCCGGATGAGAACGCTAAAGACAGAGAAAGTAACTTGCCTAGGTATATCTAACCAGTACATGATTTGGAACAAGATTTTCATCCAGATTGGTTGGTCTCCGCTACATCCTGCAAGCCCTAGGAGAAATGAGGACCTGAGGTGTGTGTGTTTGTGGCCTAAGGGGTGGTCATCAGCCCTGTACAACCCATGGACGCAGTGCTCATGGAAGTGAGGAAAGGGTGAGAGGACAGCCAGATACTTTCACTGCCTGGTACGGGCCAGGGGGTTATGACGGTGCTGAAATGAACAGGAACACTGAACCCCAAACACAAAGAGATTGTTTCACGTATCCATCACCTCCCAATGATGAGCCCTCCTTCTGTGAGGCCAGTCCAGTTGTTCTGCTTTCTGTCAGGAGCGGCCTACTTCTGGGCTCACCTCTTCTGACAGACAGGGGTGCAAATAATATGGGCAGGATTTATAAAGAACCAGAATGGAAGCAATGTCCCATTGAAATTCCAAGGCTCCAAATAAAAGTGCTGAGACTCTGTGTTGCATCTGAAAGGCAGAGGAGATCTCTAGGAGAGAGGGCCCGCTCCACAATCCTGGCAACTTGGGTGGTATACACAGTTAGGAAGCGAAACAACCAACCTTACTTAGCCTAACACCTCGCACACTCCCACCCATGTTCCTGCTATGGCAGGTATTTTTAGAGTCCTGAGCTCATGGTGTTAAAGCATCTGCCACATGCCTGAGGGCTGATAGGGATCCAGCCTTACTCAGAGGCAAGAGTTAAGACTGCTGGGGTGTGGGGGGATGAGACGTGGAGAGCAGAAGCCAAGTGGTAACACTATTCCTGGGGAAGACCTGCTCCCTTCCCACTGATCTCTATTCTTCTCTCACCCTACTCTCCCTTTCTTCCTGTTCGGAGCACCAGAGGGGTGGAAGAAGTGAAAAATCTTTCCTGTCTCTGTTTGCAGATACAGACCAGACTTTGAGGGCTTACATTTTTCTGTGTCATCAAAATTAGATGTTCTCTCTGAAATGGCCTGGGCACATACCTAGGTGGCGCTTGTAGTTTGATGGCTCAGGCCAGTTCAGCTTTTGCTACTGCTGCTGCTGCTGATGGTAATGACAACCTTGAGGATGAGTGATCTGATGCAGGAAGACTGCTTGTAGTTTAGGTGGAGAGGTGCACAGAGCACTGAAGAAACAATTAGAGAACACAGAAATATATTCTAAATGGTATGATATAGACTCAAAGTGAGGTAGGAATGCTAATAAAAGAGACTTGGAATTGGAGAAGGTTTGAGGGAGAAGATAGAGACGTGAGCCTAGCCTTCAAGAATAGGTGATGGCCAGGCACCGTGGCACATGCCTGTAATCCCAGCACTTGGAAGGCTGAGGCAGGAGCATAGCCAAGAGTTCAGGGCCAGCCTGGGCTACATGGTGAATAGTTCAAAAAACCAACAAAGAATGGGTGAGATCTTGACAGGGCAAAAAGGGGCTAACCACATCTAGAGGGGTGGACCAGCAGGACCAAAGGCACAGAAGTGGGAATGAACCAGGTGGAGCTGAGTAGTTTGAACCCAGGTTGGGAGGGGTCAAATTAGGGCAGGCAGAAAAATTTCCATTTGATGCCACGTGCAATAGAGGGCTACTGTAACTTCCCGCAGAGGAAGATGGTATGCAGATACAAGCAGGCATTTAGGAAGGCTAGTCTGAAAGCATCACAGAGTAGAGATGTGCAGAAACCAAAGGACTGCTGTCACCCAGGAGTGAAGAGGAGGGTCTGACCAAGGGACCTGAACACTGAAAAGGAAGGAGAGGCTCTGAAGCTCATGCCAAAGGACTCCGGAGGCATGTCAGTAGAAGACATTGGACAGCCAGGACAATGAAAATAGATAGGATGATGACTCAGGGGCCCTTTAAGTCTTCCCTCAGCAAGGAAATTCAATTGTATTTACTAGATTATACTTACTGTTAACTCCATATAAAGGCCATACTTGTTTTAAGAGGCATGGTAGTCAATTAGTGATCATAATCAAATTTTCGTTGATAATTTAGAATTATATAGGGCCTTGGGACCATTATTCTGAATACGAATGTCTCTTGTCTAAGAAGTTGGATGGAAAAGGAAAAAATGGGTTTGAATGTGTGTGGAATCCAGGGTATCCCTTGGGGAGTAGTGCCTTCACATGTTACTGATATCAGCTTTTTGCCTTCATAAGCGAGCTTTTATCTCAAAAGGCAAGGTGCAGAAGAAAACCCCAAGGAGTTAAAGTATCACTTATGTAATGAACAAGTGAGTTTAAATGTTGACTGAGCTAAAATCATAACACTAATTTTGCTTATTTTTAAAAGTAATTCAACGGGAGGCTGAGGCAGGAGGATCATTGTGAGTTCGAGACCAGCCTGAGCTACAATGTGAACTCAAGGCCAGCCTGAACTGCATAGTGAGACCCTGTCTCAAAACAAAACAAAAAAACAAGTAATTCAAGCCAGGGATGGGGCATATGCCTGTAATCCAGCATTCCGGGAGTTTGAAGCCAGAGGATCACAAATTCAAGTCCAGGCTGGGCAACTTAGCAACTTAGTGAGAACTTGTCTCAAAATTTAAAAAGAAGGGCCAGGCATGGTGGTGCACACCTGTAATCCCAGCACCCAGGAGGCTGAAGCAGGAGGTTTGCTGTGAATTGGAGGTCAGCCCGAACCACAGAGTGAGCCTCTGTCTCAAAAGCTTTTTTGTAAAAAAAAGGGCTGGGGATATAGCTTAGTGCTAAGGCCCTGGGTTCAATCCTTACTACTGCAACAACAGAGTAAACCAAAAAAATTTTTAAAAAGTAATGCGTGCTTGCATGAGAAAATTTGAGAAATTAAAAGAGAAGAAAATATCACCTGTAGTCCCACTGCCCATAAATAGTTACTTTTTAAATTTTTTGTTTTGTGTTTTTTGAGTCAGAGTCTCACTCTGTAATTCAGGCTGAACTTGAACTCACTATGTAGCTCAGGTTGGCCTCGAACTCACTATGATCTTCCTGCCTCAGCCTCCCAAGTGCTGGGATTACAGATGTGTGCCACCATGCCCAGCCTATAAATAGTTACTAATTTTCTATACACATATGTTTAATGTTTTTACAAAATTGAGACCATAGCATGATTTTTTTGGTACTGGTGATTGAACTGAGGGCTTTTACCACTAAACTACACCCCAACCCTAAAAAATTTTGTATACTTTTTTTTTCTTACTTGTATTTTGTGAGCATTTCTCCCACCATTTAGTCTTTGAAAACATTATTTTAATGGCTTCATAATAGTCCATTGTATAGATATATACCTTTATTTTCTGTCTCCTAGGTTTAGGTTGTTTCCTGTGGTTTTTTTCTTCTGCAATGGGGATTGAACCCAGGGCCTTGTGCATGCTAGACAAGTGTTCTACCACTGAGATACATCCCCAGCCCTTTTTATTTTGAGACAGGATCTTGCTAAGTTGCCCAGGCTGAATTGACTTTATAATCTTCCTGCCTCAGCTTCCCAAGCAGCTGGAATTACAGGTGTGTGCTACTATGCCCAGATGTTTCTTGTTTTTTTTTTAAAGTATAAATGACACTGTGATTAAGATCTTTGTACAGAATTTTGAGTACATCTCTGCTATGTCTTTTGTATAGATTTCTGGAAGTGGTGTTACCAGTTCTAAAAGCTGCGAACATTTTTAAGGTTCTTAACAATGTTGCCAAATTGCCCTCCAGAAAAGCTGGCCAATGTACATCCTAGTTTTTCATCTAAAATCCTTCAGATTTTCTTTTTTTTTTTTTTTAAATCCTTCAGATTTTCAACCCAGCTTACTTGCTTTCTCTCTTTCTTTCTTTCTTTCTTCTTTACTTTTCTTCCTTCCTTCCTTCCTTCCTTCCTTCCTTTCTTTCTTTCTTTTTTCTTTCTTTCTTCTTTTCTTTCTTCCTTCCTTCCTTCCTTCCTTCCTTTCTCTCTCTCTCTCTCTCTCTCTCTCTCTCTCTCTCTCTCTCTCTCTCTCTTATTTCCCCCTCTTACCCCATACTGGGAATTAAATTCAGGGCCTTTGCACTGGGCTACATCACCAATTCTTTTAATTTTTTTTTTATTTTGAGGCAAGATCTAAGTTGTCAACTCAAGATTTTCAACTAACAATGTTATGAAACCTTAACAAGCCCTGAAACTTCTCTACACATTGAAAAGTCCATTCTGCTAATCTATTGAGAACCACTTCCTGTGTCAGGATTTGTAACCTCATTTTCTAAAGCTATAAAACCACTTTTTTTTCCCCCTTGTCTATCCATGTTTCCTTTTCTGACTCCGCACATGGGTTTCTGTGTCTTTCAGGTTCAGGTGTGGGACACAGCAGGTCAGGAACGCTTCCGCAAAAGTATGGTGGAGCATTACTACCGCAATGTTCATGCAGTGGTCTTTGTTTATGATGTTACCAAGATGACATCCTTCACCAACCTCAAAATGTGGATCCAAGAATGCAATGGGCATGCTGTGCCCCCACTAGTCCCCAAAGTGCTTGTGGGCAACAAGTGTGACTTGAGGGAACAGATCCAGGTGCCCTCCAACTTAGCCCTGAAATTTGCTGATGCCCACAACATGCTCTTGTTTGAGACATCAGCCAAGGACCCCAAAGAGAGCCAGAATGTGGAGTCGATTTTCATGTGCTTGGCTTGCCGACTGAAGGCCCAGAAATCCCTGCTGTATCGTGATGCTGAGAGGCAGCAGGGAAAGGTGCAGAAACTGGAGTTCCCACAGGAAGCTAACAGTAAAGCTTCCTGTCCTTGTTGAAACCAAATGGTGTAAATACGAGATAAATTATCACTGGAGTTTTTTCTTTCCCTTTTTTCTGTGCCTGCATAATGCTGACACCTGCTTGTTTCCATACAAATTGGTATCAAAATAAAATTTGTATAGATTATCAGATGGCTTTATGTCTTGCTTTCCTCCAAGAAGACTTTTTTTCTTTTTGTTCCTTCCTCCTTCTTTCCTTTCTACTGCTGGGAGTGGAACCCAGGCCTTGAGCATGTTAGGCAAGTGCTGTACCACTGAGCTACACCCCCAGCCCTAACGAAACATTTCTGATTGTGATGAGTGGAGGAAGCAGTTCGCCCTGGAGTGAATGGACAGTGCCAATGTATAATCACTATCAGCCGTTTATACTACCTGAAATTCTCACCGTTTGAATCATTTTTCCAGGGCTAATTCATTTTTTTCATATCATTAGTGGGCAGAAACATCCAGGCGGGATGGTACATGGACCAGGTATATTTTTTCTAGAGAGATAATACAGGTGACTGGATAGAGAAGTATTTCTTTTTCTTTTCTTTTTTGTTTGTTTGTTTGAGCGTCTTGCTGTTCATATCAGGCTGGCCTCAAATTTCCAGCAATCCTCCTGCATCAGCTTCCCAAATGCTGGGATTACAGACATTCACCAGTAGAGAGCCCTTCCCTGGTCTTTGTCAACGTCTGAGAAGGTTGTATTTCTAATTGCATGGAAAAGTTACTGGAATTCTAGTGAGTTAATTTCAATCTACCACTTCCAGTGCAACCCATGGTGAGAATAAAGACACTAAGGTATATTTGTAGTAGCGGGGAGCCAAAGGTGTCCCAAGTCCAGCTAGGATGATGGCTACCCAGAACAACAGCCTTGGCCCAAGGCTGAACCCAGGTTTTTATTAATTCATGAAGAGGGGAGTGGCTCGGGGATGAGTGACTGTGAGAACGGCGGGAAGTGAGTGCTGTGAGCTGGGCTAGGTAGGAGGCCTAAAATCATCATCTCTGCAGTATATAGAGAAAAGGATATGCAGAAAGAGTAATCAGTAACCTCAAATAACACAATTTGAGGTAGTATCTAATGTTTTGGGGGCTGGTGGTTCAGCTCTGATGTATAATTTTTTATGCCCTGGAAAGTCATAGCTTCCTGTCTGGAGGCTCAATCCCAGCCAACAGCGTGGAGCTCCTTCCTGCCCCAGCTCACACATGCTTCTTGGGAGCTCTGGGGCAGGGCAATGCTGATCTGTCACCTTGCTTCAAAGACTACACATCAGCACCTCGGCTAGACAGATTTGCATTGCAAACTGAGGGGATAGGAAAAAGTCCTAGCCAGCTCTGTACACATCAATACATGGAAATAGGGCCAGGTTTAGCCAAAATGGAGACAATTGCTCTTTTTTCAAGGAGAGTTATGTAGGTGGTCTTCCACACACCACCACACTTGGTCTTGAATAGACATGCGTATCTTAAAAGATGTGGCCAGGCATGGTAGCTCACGCCTGTAATTCCAGCACTCAGGAGGCTGAGGCAGGAGGATTTCTGTGCGTTTGAGGCCAGCCTGAAGTGCATAGCAAAACCCTGTCTCAAAAAGACAAAAAAAAAAAAAAAAAGGAGATGTGGATTCAATATTTCCTAGGTTTATTTGAATAGTGCCTTGGATGTCCACATAGGCTGCTCTTTTATTTCCAAGTTTATAAATAAAAAGCGTAGATCTGGACATGGTGGCACACACTTGTAATCCCAGCACTGTGAGAAGCTGAAGTAAAAGGATCCTAAATTTAAACTCAGGCTGGGCCATTTAGTCACTTAGCGAAACCCTGTCTCAAAATTTAAAAAAGGAAAAAAAAAAAAAAAAGAGCTAATGATGTAGCTCAGTGCGAAGGTCCTGGGTTTAATCCCCACTACCACAATTTAATTAAATTAAAATTTAAAAAGCATAGCATGGGCTGCCCAGTGGGCCTAGTTGCTTCTACAGTAGTTAGATCCTGCTCTGCATTTCTTACCAAGCAGACTTAACACCAGAAGACTACCCCCTTTGCCCTTTCTTGGATGGGTCATGGCTCAAGCTAACAAAGAGACCTTTGCTGGATGCTATGGAACACATGTAACAGGATGATATGTCCCCAGTGTTCAAAGGCCCTATTGATTTCGTTGTGGGAATAATGTACACACTGAAACTACTTGAGAACAGAATTGGACCACATCAAGTACAAGACTGCACTATGGGAAATGGAAACCTTATGTGCTCAACATCAGTGAAGAAAAATGACTGGACTTATTTTGTATGCTGAGTAGGTATAACATTTGGATTAGTAAAGAGCAGGGAACCAGGCAAAGGCAAGGAAGCAGGAATGACCTTGGGGGTTGGACAGGAGGACAACTAGAAGGCTGGCCCAAGGGAGAGCTGAGCAGCCCCTGCGGGGAGCTGAGGTGGGAACTTGCTCAGGCAGACTAGCCTGTACTTGGCTTCTAGGGCTGTCTTGTTGCAATCCTGCTGTGAGAGGGTCTCAGGATGACAGCTCCTGAGCATTTCCCTGTTAAGCATATGCAGCTGTGCTCCCTGATGAAAAAGGGTATGTGTCGCTTTGGGGGATATTTTTGCAAGGGGAGACAATATAATACAGGACAGATATTTTATAAGATTATTTATAATAGTCACCCAAAGAATGATAAACAGAAGAGTGCAGGAAATCTGTCCACACACAGACCAAGGAATCCATCCGAGGGCCTGGATCCTACAGGAATGTCCTGCATGAGTCTATCTGAAGACCTAGAGCCCATAACAGTGCCTCCCATGAATCCAAGTGGAGGCCCAGAGCCCACAACAACGTCTCATGCAGGCCTGTTTCACAGATCTGCACTGGAAAGGCCCAAAGGTCAGTGGTGGAATCCAGGAAGTCTGTGCCAGTGGAATGAAGGATCTGTGCTAGCAGCCTGAGGGATCTGCACTGGAGCCAGGAAGCAACGCTCAGAAGAACCAGAGCTCCCCCAAAAGGTACCACAGCCATCCTCAGCAACAGTGAGGTCTCGAGCTATTCTGATGATCAAGATGGCCAAGTTCCCATCAGGGAAGCTAACGCAGCCAACTTGTCTAGGAGACCGGCAGTGCACCATCTTCCCCTCCAGAGCCAGGAAGCGATGCTCAAAGTGAGGACCAGAGCTCCCCTAAAGTGAATCAAAGCCATTCTCAGTGCCAACGAGGTCCTGAGCTCCTCGCAGGATGAAAATAGCCAAGTTCATCAGGAAAGCCAGCATGACAAGCTCCTCCAAAACAACCAACAGCTCCTTACAGCTTCTACCAGCTCCCAACAGCCTAACTTCTTCTTCATTTGTGCCTCTTATGCTGCTGACAACAACCCCCAGGTGGGCCTCCCACAACCAGCACCACGTTTACTCAGTTCAGCTGGGGGTTATAAGTTGACCACCAGTTATCAATCCACGACAATGGTAACATATACCAGACGCATTTCCTACCCAAACAAAGCCTGTGTGGCCCTACCTGGCTCATCCCTACAGTCCTCTCCCATCTGCATCTGCCCTCAGGCTCAGCTCAGCCCCAAGTCTGGTTCTCATCTCTTGACTTTTGCCTGCATCTGTCTTTGGAACCTACTTAGTACTCCAGTCAGAGCTGGTTTTCTTCCCAGCTGTCCCCACCCAACACACTGCCCCTGAGTGTTGCCCAAGAAGCTCAGGACATGTTGATGATGTTGACTGTCGAAACCCTGCTTGCTATGTTTCTCCCAGATGGAATACCCCATGAGCTTGTCTTAGACTCTAGGTGCTGATTCCTCACTGAAGACTTGATCTGCTCTTGTACCTTTTGGCTACTGTGATGCAGTTGTACAGCTGGGCAACCTCTCAGTGACTGCCCTAATGGGGACATTTCTGTCTGGTCCTGGCCCTTCTTGGTCAAGGCCTCTTTCTGCTGTAACAGGACTAAGATGATAATGTTCCAAGTTCTCTAACCAGGATTACTTCCTCTCAGACCCAAATTGCCTGTGATACTTTTCAAGCATTCAACAAACATTTACTGAGCGTGTACTATGTGCCCCTGTTCTAAGCCCCAGAGATACATAGTTGAACAAATAAAATTCCGCTGTCAGAAAAGAGACAGACACTAAACAAAAAATGAAAGCTGGACATGGTGACACATGCCTGCAATCCCAGCACTCTGGGAAGGTGAGGCAGGATTTCAAAATTTGAGTCCAGCCTGGGTGACTTGACGATTTAGTGAGAATTTGTATCAAAATAAAAAATAAAAAAGGGCCAAGGATGTAGCTCAGTGCTAAGGCCCTGTGTTCAATCCACGCTATCACAACAAATAATCATACAAACTATAAATGAGATCATTTTATTTTTTTGAGTACATGAGATCATTTTAATGACAAGGACTACCAGGGCCATAAAAATGGATAGAAAATGAGGGAGGTAGTGAGGGACAAGAAGATAGATATTGAAGGCTATCAAAGATGTGTTTGAAGAGATAATATTTGGGCTGATAATTAAATGGGACAGCAACCAGATGTGAGATTATGGGATCCAAGCAGGGGAAACAGCGAATGCCCAGGCCCTGATGCAGGAGTGAGGTTGGTGTATTTGAGGGACAGAAAGGACACTAGTGTCACTGGAATAGAGGACAAAGGAAGAAGTGGTGGGAGATGGGAGAGAGAAATAGGCAAGACCAGATTATGGGGCCTCTGTGGACCATGACTGGAATTTGGATTTTTTTTTTTGTCTTTTTGAGACAAAGTTTCGCTGTGCAGTTCAGGCTGGTCTCGAACTCCCAATGATCCTCCTTCCTCAGCCTCCCAAGTGCTGGGATTACAGGTATGTGCCACTATGTCCGGCATGAATTTGGATACTTTTTTTGTCCTTTTGAGACAGGGACTCACTATACAGTTCAGGCTGGCCTTGAGCTCACTTTGCAGCCCGGGCTCGTCTTGAACTTGCAATGATCCTCCTGCCTCAGCCTCCCGAGTGCCGGGATTATAGCCGTGCAACACCACACCCGGCCTTTGATTTTTTAAGTGCAGTGAGAAACCAGTGGCTTTAGCACCACCTAGACTGTGCCTGATTTCGCCCCTCCTCACAGACTCTCCTCAGCCACCTGGGCACAGGCAGTAAGTGCTGGGGCTCCAGGAAACTTGAGA